AAGGATTTCAGCCTCAGAAGGTGGGTCTGTTGAGACAGACCACAGGACGTGTGCCGAAATAGCTGTGAGAAGCTGACGCTGGTCGCCAGCTAAATTTTGCTTTGAAGGTCAAAATGAAATGTTATTCGGTTCAATACCGGATACGTACTAAGTTTTTATATTATGGTATTATTCATGAGTACCATTCTCACCACTCACTTATTCTTATATCTTCTCTATAACCTTCTGCTGCACCCTGCCGGGTATATCCGAATCAACTCAATCAGAAAACCGTCTAGGGTATAAGGTTGCCTCACCCCACTAACCGGTTAGCTAGGTGCACATATAGACTGCAGGCATTCCTTTTTAGCATTAAAATATATCAGCTGCGGATGTAGCAACTGAAACGGAAAGTTGCCCCAAGGCGGAACCGAGGGCCTAAAAATCGGCTCGTAAAGGATTCTTTATTGTTATGATGAATACTATTACAAGTGTAGACACCAATAACTTATTCTTCCACATCCTAATTGACCGTATTTCATTTGTTCTCACCAATCCGTGACACACGCCAACCAAGTAGCAGTGTTCACATTTACGTCTCAATCCTCTATCAGTAAACGGATGCAGCTTCAAAACTCTATCAGTGTAATGTAAGGCTTAACGATGAGTACCTTCTCAAGTACAGTCACCTAATTCTCCTATTATGGTAGCTCCACAACTCACAATTATCAAACTGTCCTCTCAATTTGCCGTGACACGTGCCAACCGAACGGCTGTGCACACCAAATTCGCAACTGATTATCATTATACTGATCGTGCCTTACAAGCTTTCATATCGTTAGGAGCATGTGCATTTCTCACTTTATTGTTAAGCGGTGTGTTTTTCTCTGTGCATTCTTCTTTAACATATAATTATTCGGGATTTTTGCGTCATCCGGAGGAGGCTTCAACTGAAACGGCCTCCGTTCCACACACCCAGTACAGTGGTTCGCACCATGGGTGGATCACAGAGCAACAAACGGAGGACAACCCGGACATTATTCTCTTCAATGTCCGCGGTCTACTTAACAAGAGAGATGAAATTGAAGCCTTTGCTCATGCCCGCAAGCCGGCAGTTGTCGCTCTCACAGAAACCTGGCCGGTGGGCGACATTGCCGAATCTGAAGTGTCAATCCCGGGTTATATCGTCTGTCGGGCGAATCGGAACCCAAAACGGAGGGAGATGGATTAATGGTATACATTCGCATCACATCTTCTGGAGGTGCATACCGACCATCAAGGGCTCTTGGAATGTTTGTGGTGCAACATTAAACTTTCCCGCAACGGTTATACGATGGTTTCAGGACGCTGTACACTTCCCATGTCAGACCTCGCTTGGAGTTCGCGGGCGCCGCGATATATCAGTGTACAACAGCCGAAATTGTGAAGCTGGAGAGGTCCAACGAGCCGCCAATCGCATGATTGCCGGGTTACGTGAGTGTTGCTACACTGAACGATTGCATGCCACTGGAGTGTTCCCAGAGTCATCGCCGAGTACGGGGTGACATCAAATGTGTACGATGTATTTTACGTGGTGACATGAGCCCAGAGATAATGGAGTACTTCCCTCTGCGCGAGCAGAGCAGGAATCGTGGACACAGACTTACGTTGCTGAAGCTCCGGTCAGAGGATAACCACTTAGGTACCGATTTTCGCGCGAGGTAACCAACCTACGAAACTCCCTTCCAGTCGGTGTGGTGGACGAGGTAAATGATAATATGTTTAAGATCAAGCTCGACAGCACCTTTCGCGGAAGGTGGAATGCAGATCAGTCCTGAATGCATTTTTTGAGTTTGTGGTGCTGAGGCTTATACGGGAAGTTTCCCACCGCCTCTAATTGAAGAACATAGAATATATATATACATATATATCATCATCATTATCATCGTACAGCGAAATACCGTGAAGCGAACTTCACTGACAGCTGCCAAACTTACAATGCATACAAGGTTAGTGGTAAAATTTAAGGTGGACAGGGGTTGGATCTATTTTGAGGAAGGGAGAAGATGAGCCACTGTGGTCAACACACCGTACACAAACGAACTCCGCATAAAAACCGTTTCAAGCATTCTGACCTGATAAGAAACGACAACAAGAACGCCACTGCTGCCG